TCTGTTCCACCTTCTTTTGCCTTCATATATATAGTAACTCCGTCATTTGATTTCAGGTCACCTGCAGCCTCATTTCTTCCGTTCATCATTACCTTCACTATGCTCAGAGCAAAGTCGAGGTAATCAATTTTAAAACTTCATTTTTTCCTAGTTTATTAGCTCGATCTTTATCATTCGATGAATGCTAACACAGAGTTTTTTTTTTTTGCCTTGTTGGAGTTCATCAGGTTCGTATCAGGCATCAACTCTCCATCTGCAGCCTGGTCAACAGATCCTACCTCTCCAAATTACATGTTAGGCATAGTCTTACTCCAAATCCGCCTTGTTTTGTGATCTGTATGTGTAGCTTGCATGTGTCGATTGCTTGTGTGCTTTGTCTGAGTGTAGAAGATTGATTAATTGTGTTTTTGTCAATGTAGATGGATGGTGCAATTGCAAATGATGCTTTGAATGTGAATGATCCTCGTGCGCCTAGTTCTCTAAATCCTGATGTTAATGGTAATGTTAACGGTAATGGTAATGATGTTTTGGTTGATGGGAATGAAAATGGCAAAGTCATTCTCGAGGAAGACAAGAAGTTGACTTCTGATGTCTGGCCTCATTTTGTTAGAGTGAAGTTTAATGGTGTTGTTAAGGCTAAGTGTCGTTACTGTAAAAAAACGACTAGGTTGTGATACTAGTAATGGAACCTCCCACCTGAGGAACCATTATAAACCTTGTACCGAAAGGAAGATACATGATGGTAGACAAAGAGTTCTTGGTCGTGATTATAAACCAACTGGAAACCCCATGCTATCAACTACTCAATTTAGTTCTGATGCGTCTATGAAGGAATTGTGTTCAATGATTATGGTCCATGAATATCCCATGAGTTCAGACGTTCTGTTGTTCTTTGCAACCACAGTTCACTGTGCCTTGTAGGAGTACAATGAAGAATGACATAATGGGGTTGAAATGGCAAAGTTTGAGAAGGTTTTTGATGGTAATATTGGCAGAGTTGTAGTGACCACTGATATGTGGACTGCACTGAACCAGAAGAGGGGTTATATGACAGTAACTTGTCATTTTATTGACAATTCTTGGAAGTTTAAAAACCTGATTTTAAGCTTTGTTTGTCCCTGCCCCTCATACTAGTGAGAGGCTGGGAGACAGATTGTTCAACTGTCTTATTGATTGGAATATTGATAGAAAGTTGTCATCTATTACCTTGGATAACTGTACCACCAACGATGCCAAAATAAGCCATCTGAAAACCAAATTTGTTATGGATGATTTGTCGTTGGATGCTATGCTGATTCACATGAGTTGTTCTACTTATGTACTTAATCGTATTGTGCAAGATGGTTTGGATGTCATCAGGGATGGCATTGATTTGGTTAGGGAGAGTGTTGTGTACTTGAACTCTACACCTAAGAGGGTCCAAACTCCAAACCTTCTATGAAACTGGTAAACAGATTAAGGTGCCTTGTACAAAGAAACTTGTGCTTGATTGTTCGACAAGGTGGAATTCCACCTATGATATGTTGTTTTCTGCTATTATATACATAGATGTGTTCTCTCGTTTGCGACAGAGGGATAGTCAATACAATATTGTCCTTACTAGTATGCATTGAGAGTTTGATGCCCTTATCATTGACAAACTTGAAATTTTCAGTGAGATTACTAAGCTATTTTCTGGTAGCAAGTATCCCCATGCTAATATGTTTTCCCCCAAGATCTATGATTTAAGATTGAAATTGATGGAATGGTGTGTTGATTCCAATACTCTTGTCTCTAGTATGGCTGAAAGCATGTGGTTGAAATTTGCTAAGTATTGGGATGAGGTACATGTGGTTCTGGCTGTTTCGGTAGTTCTTGATCCTATATAAGTTTGGTAGCATAAGACTCAACTACATTGCATTTAGTTGAGTCTTATGCTAGTAAGTTTGGCAGCACTAATACTGCATTGGTGGCTGATAAGATAAAGCAATGTATATGTGGTTTGGTTCTTGCCTACCAAATCAAGGTTGAGAAAAAGAATTCTGGTTTCTTTATGTGCTTCTGGTGGTTCTTCTAGTTCTGGAAGTGATAATCATGCTTTTGATATCTTTGTGAGTCAGAGGAAAAAGAGCAAGATGACTCTGATTCATACTGATCTCAATGACTATCTTCTTGAGAACCTTATTCCCAATCGATATAATGAATTTAATATATTGATGTGGTGGAAACTAAATGGCCCTAAGTAACACACTTTGCAAGCAATTGCAAGGGATACCCTGATCATACCAGTTACATCAGTGGCTTCTGAATATGCTTTTAGCTCTTGTGGGAGGTTATTAGACCCTCAGCGGAGTAGGCTTTACTATAATAAAGTGGAGGCAATGATGTGTACTCATAATTGTATAATGGAAGATCTGCAACAAGGTAATGTGCAAGAATTGAACTTTCTGGTTTTGTTTTGTGTTCATTTTTCTATTCTTTTCCTTTGTTTCATTTTTTTGCATAGTCAAATGCTGATATGAAGGTAATGGAATGTGTGTTTTCAGCTCTAGCATTTGAAGATACAAGTGTTGAAGATCAAGCAGAGGGTGGTAAGTTAGTTGGTTCTTCAATTCTTTTCCTTATTAATCTTAGTTTCAATTCTCTTAACACCTTTGTTTTCTTTCTCGCATAATAAGAGGAACTTGGCAATATGAACCGTCCATTATCCCTAGATGATTGATAGTTTGAGAAGAACCAGTGCAAAGGTAAAATACTAGTGATCAGTAGCACAATACTTATGATTGATGAGGTTTTTGATAGTTTCAATTTTCTAACACTTTTGTTTTCTTTCTTGCAGAACAAATGGAACTTGTGACAAAGGAGGAATGTTGTTCAAATAAATTGAGGTCGAGGAATTGGTCTCCAGCGTGGACAAGCTACAACATTGTTGCTCATTTCATTTCATCATTTCTGAACGATTACGTTGAACGTCTTTGTTTTTCATTTTATGTTTTTTTTTTAAATTTGAACACTAGTACTAGCATGATCAACATGATTGATGGGTTTTGGGTGGTGGGATTAAGGTTGCAGCAGTTTGTTTGTTTGCTTGCTGCAGCCTGTGACTTGAATTTGAATTTTGAATTTTAGGATCTGGGTGCTGGGATATGAGTTACAGCCCCATATCTTTTTTTGTTTTTTTTTTCTATTTTGATGGCTTGACCATCAAGTTACCATTTTAATGCAAAGTAGTGTTTGTTTGTCTTTTTCTTTCGTTTAGGCTTTAATTGGTGGGTTGCCCGAATTCGTCGGCGAACGGTGACGGTAGCCAATCTACCCCTTGTGACGGTTTGTCTTTTTTTTAGTCCCTGATCCGTGGGGATTCGTGAGATGCCCTAATCCGTCGACGAATGATAATAGTAGCCAATCTACCTTCGTTTAGTTGTCGGGAACGAAATGGGAAAATCCGTCGAGGTTGACGGACGGGGATCGGAAGGCATGTACCCGCCCCGATCCGCACTGTTGGCATCTCTAAATCTATACTATCATCCATTCGTCGCGAACGAATCGTAGTATTTAGCATTTTGAAAAGTAGCGGCAAAATACACGGCTACGTTCCATATGTATGCATGGCGTGCAAATTGCAATGGGAATGCAGTTATAAATTGAGGGAAACTTCATGGCTTTGGAGGGCACGCATCCTACTTATTGCTTAACTTGCTCTTACCCAGAAATGGCACGTAGAACTAGGCGCGGACACAGACATGACATTGGATAGCGGCCCTTTGAAACCAAGACATTTACTACTGTCTACTGGAAGTACCATCGATTTTTCTCTGTTCCCAATTTCCTCTTCCTTATCTTTCCCTGAACTGCTTAGTAGTTTGATGTTCTGTTTATGGAAAATATCGTTTGACAATCTGCTCGTTTATTGATAAGTTTAGTTTAAGTTAAGCTTTTAGATAAAGAACTTTAAAAAGTCAATTCGTCTCAGTGAGTTTTTTTTAGCTCAAATCGTCTCATGAGCTCAAATCGTATTTGAGCTCATGAGTTGTCCTGATAGTTGGCTAACAAACCAATTCGGCTAGTGACTTATGAGCATTGATCTATATTTTATGCTTTGGCTTATTGATAATTTATAAGCTTATTTTTTTAATGAAATAACTCATAGATTTGTTAGATTATATATCTTATCACAAAGCTTTGTGTATGTGAACAAATATCTCTCATTATAATTTAAAGAAAAAAATTATGTATGATAATTGTTTATATATTGACTAGTATAAAATAATAAAAAATTAAAATTTATGAAGTAAATAATATGATACTTGAGGCAAGCTTGCGAGCTAATTGATGATTCAAATTCGAGTAAAGTGGTGCGCTCATTAACGAGAAGAGCTCGAACCAAATACGCAACAATATTTTATTAAACAAACCAAATTTGAGCATGACTCATTTATTAGCAAGGTGAGCCCGAACTAGTCCAAACTCGCAACTGGGTGGATGCCCTAGCGGTTTATGGGGACGAACTTTATATTCGTTGGCAATATATCTACTCTATAATTTGGCTCATTTGCCGTCCTAGTTACAAATATATAGAGGGCAAGCATAGTATATGATACAATTACAATCTGAATTTTGTAGGCATACAAACGGTAGACACCAAATTTTGTAACAACTAATTTGTATAATTTGCAAATAATTATACCACTGTCAATGCTTACGCTAAACCACATGTACACATAATTTGTAGTGGAATTAGTGGTGCTCGACCTAAACCATAAGCACCGCCTTAATTTCTTACAAAGTTACAATGCATGCATCTAAAGTCATAAACCCCATCGATAAGCTTACCATTGGAAGTCGAGAAAATTAAATTTAGCTGCTCTCTTTGGGGCTCTGTCGTCCCCATTGATTGCTGCACCATCATCAATCAATGCTCGCCCAGTCCCCTTCCATGGATGCGCCAAACAATGCCAACGCCCTCCTCTGCCACCATTTTACAAATTATAAAGCAAATCAACGCTGCTTCTCTTCATGCCTTTGATCACAAGCAGCAACAAAAAGTATGAAAACAACCCAAATTCTTAGTGTCTTTCTCATAGGCCTACTTCTCTTGGCAACACAATCACTCTGCAGCAGCAGCGACACCAAACAACCATCACACCAGCCCAGATGGGAGAAAACAGAGAAGCAGAGCAGAGGAGGCAGAGGTAGAACCGGCAGAGGCCGTGGAAGAGGCGGCGGTGGTGGAAGATCGTCGCCAAGTAACCGCTGTGACCCATTCTTCCAGTACCTATTTGGGATCTGTGGGCAATGGCCTTTCCCAACTTCCCCTTCGCCGGACAACCCTTTCAATCCCTCCCCTGCTCGCCGCCCTCCTAATCCTCCGGGGACAAGGATTCCTCCTCCCCTTCCCACTCCAGCAGCTCCACCACCGCGCCTCCCGCCAATTCCGCTCGTCCCTTCTCCTCCGCCGGTAACCCCGCCGCCCGTTCTTTCCCCGCCGCCTGCGCCCGTGGTTACTCCATCTCCTCCACCTTCTGCGCCTCCGCCTCAATCTCCTCCACCTTCTCCACCTCCGCCATCTCCTTCTCCGCCGCCGCCGCCACCTTTAGTTCCTTCTCCCCCGCCACCTGTACCTTCGCCGCCTCCTCCACCGCCACCGCTTGTCCCTTCTCCGCCGCCGCCTGTATTCCTGCCGCCTCCCCTGGTGGCTTCCCCACCACCTCCGACGATCATCCCATGGTTTCTTTCCCCTCCTCCTGTCGACCTCACGCCGCCGCCTCTGGTTCCCATATTCGATCCTCCGCCTGCAGACGATGACTACACTACGTCTCCACCTCTGGTGCCCATCTTGACCCCGCCGGAAGATGTACAGCCGCCACCAACAGAAATGCCGCCGCCGGCAGATCTTGACTTCACACCGCCGCCGTTGGTGCCCTTCCTGACCCCATCTCCGCCGGAAGACGATGAGGGGGCCACCCCCGCACCGCCACTGGTGCCATTATTCGAACCACCGCCGGAGCAAGACGTTTTGCCTCCGCCGGTAGAAGTCACTCCAACTCCATTCCTACCGATTTTCTCTTCTCCACCGCCGGCTTCGGATGACGGATTCGCGCCGGTTACCCCTGTTCTGCCAATCGTTTTGTCGCCACCGCCGGTCGACGATGAAGGTGGTTTGCCACCGTTTGTACCAATAACTTCGCCGCCGGTACCCGACCTGACTCTGCCCACGCCGGCGCCTCCCCTGGTGCCTGAAGTTCCAGCAGACTCGGATCCTCTGCCATTTTCATTCGCACCGCCAGCTCCAGATATCGAGCAGAAGACTGCACCTTCCGTCACATGAGCATCATTTGGTGCTTACCATATATATCCACGCTTGTCATTTCATTTCATCAGTAACTTGTATCTTTTCCCGCCACGCTGCATTCGCGCGTATTAATCCAACAATTCTACTTAACAACATAGTGCCTCTATCTTACATTTTTCCGGATGACCGGATCGCTTAGTTTAAAGAGCCAGTAGAACCTCTAACAAATATCAATACCATATGAGACATCCATAGACAGAACGTCAGTGGTCAGGCAAAACTAGTGACTTGATACAAAGACAATGCTCACAAGACGGATAAGTATGGACTATGGAGCTTAAACTAGCTCTAAATCCGACACTGCTGATTACGTCAATAGACACTGCAGTGGCACTCAATCTACTCTTTTACTGTCTTCTTGTCTATATTAGCAGCGGCTTTCCCTCTACCAGGCTCAACGGCAATAAGCGGAGGTTTGGAACTTTACCTAGTACGAAATCCATCAAGTCCAGTTCAGCCCTTGATCCATCGGTTCCAATAATGATCAGTGCTTCAAGAAACCTGAAAGGAACATCACAATCATCTGAACCTTCTTGAACATGGAGTATAGTATATAGGACCTATCCTTTTAGTTTTACCATGGCTGTGAGTACAAACCTACAAGTACAATAAAGCAATTAATTCAGTCCAGAAAGCCGCAGTAACAAGGATGCACCATTTTAATACAAATGAACCGCAGCTTGGGCGAGCTTCTAATCAAAGCAAAAGAGACCCAACAGATCAGCTTTGACATTAAAACACAGAGAAGATATTCGAAAATGTTGTAAGCAATCAAGAGAATTAGTAGGAAGCCTCCCAGCTATGCTACCGGCAGCAAAGGCCTGGATGACGCAAATATCTAAGGTGAGTATTGTTAGAAACCGAATAGGAAAAATTAGGGTTACCGATTCTGGCTGAGTCGCGGACTAGATCGTTCTCTTTAAGACGTGAAGAAAGAAGGCGCCGTCTCCCTCAAGCTATCTAAACGATGACGTTTTACCACTCTGATACTGCTTTGATTGCACGACATCGTTTGCCTTGCAACGGCACTGTCCAAGATTGTCGTCCTTCTAAGTCTTCCCCTAAGGATTGAGGTCATCGTGTTGCTCAAACCTAGCCTCCCATCTAAAAGAAGCGACAGCAAAACTCCAAAGAGTTTCTCGATGATCCACCACAGACATCACTGACTCCATAGCAGGCCATGATGAAATCCAGGAGCGCGGCTATGCAACCTGCAACGGTCATCTTCTTTGATTCAAGTATAAATACTCAATCTTCTCCTTCATTTAGACTTGGCAGTCTGTAGTGAGAGAAACAATAGAGTTCTTCATCTACTTTGGGTCCATACCTTTGTCACTTCAGTAGCTTAATTCACAGTGTGTTATCTGGGTGAATTAGGTTTGGGAAGTGTGTTGTCGTATGAGTGTTTCAAAGGGCCAACCTCGTTGGCATTGTTTAGAGTGTTCTTATATAATAGTTCTTGATTGTAATCTTCTTCCAAATTCAATAAAATATCTTTTGTTCACAGTTAATTTGAGAGAAGGAGAGAATCATCAAACTGGTAAAGCAATTGCTTCCTTCCTCAGAGTCAACAATCGGTATCAGAGCTAAATCTTTGAAGGATTAAAATTCGCCAAAGACATCAAGGAAATGGCAGGAGCCTTACCCGCCTCTGCATCATATTCAACAAACACCAATCCGCCGTGGTTCGATGGCACATATTACACTGTGTGGAAGAAGAGAATGAGGATTTATCTTCGAGGAGTTGATGGCGGGTTGTGGGCTATAGTCAAAAAGGGACCAATCCCCATGGATGATGAGGAAGAAGAAAAATGGGAAGATGATCAAAAACTGTCTTCTCAACAAGATTCAAGGGCAATGCATATTCTATTCTCCTCGCTCAGCCCAGAAGAAAGAAGTCAAGTGGCACAGTGTGAGACAGCCAAAGAGATTTGGGAATCTCTTGAAACCACCCACGAAGGTACGTCAGAGGTAACAGAAAGTAGGATAGATGTTCTACTAAATGAATATGAATAGTTTGAGATGTGCTCAGGTGAATCTATCACTAGCATGTATAAAAGATTCAATGATATGATAAACAGATTAAAAGGTTAGGCAAAACTTTTGCTACTAAGGACCTTGTTAGAAAAATCTTGCGAAGTCTTCCTAGAGTGTCTACCTAAACGAACTGCTATAGAAGAAGCAAAGGATCTAAATGTCTTGTCAATTGAAAGATTAGTTGGATCCTTACTAAGTCATGAGGAAGTAATTGTTCAGATGAATAAAGAGGATAACAGACGAAAGAATGTCATAGCGTTTAAAGCACAAGCACAAGCATACGAAAGCGAATATGAATATGAAATAGGAGAAGAGTTTGAAAGAGAATTCGCCATGATTAGTAGGAAATTCCATAAAATGCTAAAAATGAAAAGAGATTTTGAAGATAGGAAGAATCATGGAAATCCAAGACAGTTCAATAATCGTTCTTATGAGAATAGGAGAAATAGAGAGGGTCTAGAAAAGACATTTAGTAGAAATACAGGAAGTAGTACTCAAAGTGATAAGAACTCTTTCAGAAGAATAGATAAACCAACTGAAGAGTGTGAAAGGTCTACCCAGGAAATCAAGGAAGACCATAGGTCTTCCAGTGAAAAGGATTTAACAATCTGCTTTAAGTGTGGAAAGACAGGTCACATGAGGTCTAGATGTCCTTTGAACTTAAAGAAGCAAGAGAAGGCAATGACAGCCTCCTGGAGTGATTACAGCTCTGAGGAGGATGTGGAAACAAGGAATCCTGCCTACATGGCATTTGCAACAAAAGACGACAGTGAATCAACCTCACATATAAGCAGCGATCATATACTTCCTACAAGCTATCAGGTAATCTCCGACTCAAATTCTGAAAAGTGTGGGTATCCTGAATCAAAATCTGACTTCTTGCATGCTCTAAGGAATCTCCAAGAGGAGTGTAACAGACTAAGGAGTAGGTATTGCCTACTGATGTCTGAAAATCATGCTATGACCAAAGAACTAAGTATCTTAAAAAGAACTATTTCAGTCCAACATGAAAGTGAAGGTAAACTTAAAAAACAAATCTTTGAGCTGATTGATGAGAACCATAAATTAAAGTAAGAGACTCACAATAAGTATCCAATCAATTCTAGGAATCCTGTCTCCAGAGTCAGAACATATTCACATAATATCTCACATAGAAAAGTCTTTGAATCTCCTAATAGTGATAAGGTAAAGTATAAGAAGAAAGATAAAGACTATACTGAAATATATGTTTGTTCCCATTGTAATCGCAAAGGTAATTTAGCGAAATTCTGTTATGATTTACAAAAACCAAGAAAACCTGTTGTGTACAAGACATTTTGGGTACCAAAATGTACTAACCTCTGACTGATTGCAGAATCTGGGAGAAGAGAAAAACATTTGGTAATTGGACAGTGGGTGCTCCCACCACATGACAGGTAGAAAAGAGTTATTTTCCTCATTAAAGTACAAAAAGGGAGGTAAGGTGGTGTTTGGAGATGATAGAGTAGGCAGAATTTTAGGGAATGGGACTATTGGTAAGGGTCCCCTTCCAGTTATCAAAGATGTTCTGTTTGTTGAGAATTTAAAGCATAACCTACTTTCCATCAGTCAACTCTGTTGTTCTGAAAATAGAGTCATTTTCGAAGCATCATCATGTCAAATTTCTAGAATTCGTGATAACAAATTGATGTTTAGTGGCATAAAGAAGAACAATATGTATGTGGTAAATTTAAATAACTTGGATACCTTTAATGAAACATGCTTTCATGCTGCTTCAAGTGAACTAGAATTACTCTGGGAAAGAAAGCTAGGACATATTTACATGTCTAAACTGTCTAAACTGTCTAAATTAGAATCTGCATGAGGCATCCCTATGTTAAAAGATAAGCCAAATTTTTTATGTGATGCTTGTGCAAGTCGTAAGTTAACCAAGAAAAGTTTCAAGTTGAAAAAGGACATAACTACCTCTCGGGTGTATGAACTAATACACATGGATTTGTTTGGGCCAACTAATGTGGTAAGTCTCGGAGGTAAATCTTATGCCTTAGTTCTTGTTGATGACTTTTCTCGTTTTACTTGGGTGTATCTGTTGGCTTCAAAAGATGAAGCATTTGCAATGTTCAAAACTTTTGTATCAAAAGTATTAAATGATTCAGAAACTGGAATTAAGTCAATCAGAAGTAACAATGGAGGTGAGTTCATATCAGAACAATTTAGTGCCCTGTGCAATGATAAAGGTATAAACCATAATTTCTCTGCACCTAGAACACCACAACAGAATGGTGTTGTAGAAAGAAAAAATAGGACCATAATAGAGACAACTAGGACTATGCTATTAGAATATGGAAGTTCTAAGTTTCTTTGGGGAGAAGCTGTCATGACAACTGTTTATGTAATAAATCGTGTACTAATCAGGAAAAACTTAGGGAAAACTCCATATGAGATTCTAAAACATAAAACTCCTAATCTTAGTTATTTCCATCCCTTTGGATGTAAATGTTACATACTGAACACCAGAGATTACTTGTATAAATTTGATGCTAAGGCTGAGAAAGGAATCTTCCTTGGATATTCTATAAAAGGACAAGCCTATAGAGTATATAATCTAAGAACAAGAAGAGTAGAAGAGTCTGTCTTTGTGAAATTTGATGAATCTACTTGTTCTGAGAAAATTGATGCAGAAAACATAGAATTTCTATTTCCTTTACCAAGCGAGAAAGAAGAAAAGTCAGAGGATGAAGGAACCAGTGTAAAGGAGGATAGGGATATCACAGATGAACAAGTCACTCAAACAAAGGAAAGAATGGCGCCTGCTCACATACAGAAACGACACCCTGCATCTCAAATTATTGGGGAACTGAATGAAGGAATCCACACCAGAGGTAAGTACATTTGACGTCAGTACGCTTTTGTCTCTCTTCTCGAACCAAAGAACTATAAATAAGCCTTAACTGATGATGAATGGTTGCATGCAATGCAAGATGAACTTGTACAATTTGCTAGACTGCATGTTTGGGAATTGGTACCTAGACCTTTTAACAAGCTAATTATATGAACAAAGTGGGTTTTCAGAAATAAAACTAATGAGCTTGGAGAAATAACGAAAAAGGCTAGGTTAGTTGCACAAGGATATCTATAAGAAGAGGGAATAGAATTTGAAGACTCATTCGTTCCTGTTGCTCGAATTGAGTCTATCAGAATGCTATGTGCCTACGCTTGCTATATGAAAATCCCTCTATACCAAATGGATGTTAAAAGCGCATTTCTAAATGGTGAAATTAAAGAAGAATTGTATGTAAGTTAGCCACCCGGTTTTGTAGATCATGAATTCCCTGATCACGTTTTATAAGTTGTCAAAAACACTGTATGGTCTAAAACAAGCTCCTAGAGCTTGGTTTGAAAAACT